TCCTAATCATGTCGTTCTCTTTATGTTACTATTCGTTTGTTTTAATTTTACTTATCACATAAACACATATATGTGTGTATGTAAATGTATATGTATATATATACAACGCATATATATATATATTATATATATATATATATTTATATTATATATATATATATATATATAATATGTATATATATATATATGTGTGTGTGTGTGTTGTGTGTGTGTGTGTGTGTGTGTGGTGTGTGTGTGTGTGTGTGTGTGTGTGTGTGTGTGTGTGTGTGTGTGTGTGTGTGTGTGTGTGTGTGTGTGTGTGTGTGTGTGTGTGTGTGTGTGTGTGTGTGCGTGCGTGCGGTGCATGCGTGCGTGCGTGTGTGTATGTGTGTACGTATGTATGCACACACACATACAATAAAACAAGAATAACCACAACTACAACCACATAAATAAATAATATCAACGATAATAACTACAATGATGATAATAGTACCAGTAACAATCATTATCCTGCTATTAGTGCTGATAATTCAATTACAGTGACAGTACAACCGGTGCTAACAATATTCATAACACTGATAACAGCAGTAATATTATCATAAGAGAATAATAACAATAACTTTGCAATATTTCTTATAATCTCAGATGGCAGCACAGTTTGTCTTATACGATCTTCTATAAACCTTTTATGTATAGTAGATGTATAAGTACAATACATACCACATTTAAAAAGATATGATATGTACCTTCAAAGTAAATCACACATACACATGTATAGAATAAACAAGATTATCGAGGTTGACAGCGAATTCCTTCACACAACGTCACTTTTTTCAGTTTGTCGATTGATATTGTTCTTTTATTATGTTTTTTCCCTTCCGTGTGGAAAAAAATGAAAAGCCAAAACTGCCAAGTTGATGGTTTGTCTCTGATCCTGGAGTAGTTTGTTACCAACGTCGCTAGTATGTGCTTATATCATAAAAAATTGAAACGGCCATCGCATCCACAGTGATAGCATATGCTCAACAACACATTGTTCAGTCATCGTTTATGTACGCTGTTTAAGTAAATAGCAAACCATATTTGCGTAAAATATCTGGCATGTTATTACGTAACTTCGGAGGTATAACAAAAAAAAACTTTATTCAATTACCGCGAAACCGAGTACACATGAAAATACCGAGCACAATAACACAAAATCACTATATATACGATAGTACAACACTTAATGAAAGTTACAAACACAGTCACTATAATGTTATTACGCTATTACATACACAAATCACTGTAGCATCATTACACTCGGTCAATTCACTGCCACTATCACTATAGCACAAGGTCAATGCACAAGGTTTCACTACAAGTCACGGAAATGTTTCTACACTAAGAACGAAAGGAGCAAAATGCCCAACAGAGCCCAAGATGAACCTGCCAATACTATGGTAGAGAAACCCACACTGCACAAACTAGATTTATTGAAGAAAGTGAGACTACAGTTTCGGAATCGTTCTCGAAGGCCCGATGTTGTCTCACTTTCTTCAATAAATCTAGCTTGTGCATTGTGGGTTTTTCTACCAAAAACACTCGATGGAGATGCTCACAGCGACTCACTTAGTAAGAAACAACAAGTCATCTTGCTGTGTTGTCTATGCTCTTTTGTCCTGTTTTCCTTCCTTCTCCATAACGAGAGAGCAAAAGCTAGACATTATCAGAGTTGATAATATGAAGCTTTTTTTGTGTGTGGAATTCGCTAATAACGTCGCTAGTCTGAGTTTATTTTATATAAAAAAATATATACCAATGATAACAGCTATCTATTCCTATGTATTCCATTTATAGCTACCTATTTCCATTTATATATTCCTTTCTAACAAACTATTTTTGTATATGTATTCTTATCTATATTTCTATTTATGCCTGTCTATCTATCCCTGCATATCTCTTTATGTGTATTTCTACCTATGCATTCCTATCTATCTATTCCTGTCTATTACTATCTATGCATTCCTGTCTATCTATGTATTACTGTACATCTATTTCTATCTATTCCTGTCTATCTATCGATTCCTATCTGTATATTCCTATCTATCAATCTGTTTATATATTCCTATCTATCTATCTCTGTTTATGTATTCCTATATCTATCTATCTATTCCTGTTTATATATTCCTATCTATCTATCTACTCCTATCTCTTTATTTCTGTCTATCTATCCATCTGTCTATATAATCCTATCTATCTCTCTACTCCTATCTCTTTATTCCCGTCTATCTATCCATTCCTATCTGTCTATCTACATGTGGAGAGAGAATAGGCCTACAATGCCAAGGTGTCGATTCTCAAATAATTCTCAAGTAATTCTCAAATAAAGTCGATAATTTGTGTTTATTTTGTGATAATTCATAACAACTATAACCGCAAAGATATTATGACTATACAACGATTTTTTTTTTTTTTTTTTTTTTTTTTTTTTTTTTAGGTTAAAAGTTGATGTACCATAAATAGCACAATAATTCTGATACGATTTTATACAAATCTCGATAAACGTATAACGTACAACGAAAAATAAACAGACTAGCGGCATAAATACCAAAATGGTTCATAAATCACGAGGAAACGAGAAATCGCTAAAGGAAAGGAAACAGGAAAATCCGAGAAAAAAAAAAATGAGATTCGAGGAAAGATCTATTTTCGGATTCAGCCTCGGGCGGTTCTGACACACGGAATTATAGTATATAGTTGTCTTAAAAACGTGTTTATGTATCGTTACTTATTGAGTATCTTTAATTACTTCAGTGTATTAAAAAAATGTACCTGGCCAAAATAATCACTGTGCCAAAATATGGAAAAAAGGAAAGAGGAAACAGCTTGTATCAGTATTTATCTCTTTTTTTCCTCCTTTCAGACACAGCACACTCGGGCAGTGTACAGCAAAACGTGAAACATAGTCTGCTATCGCCTTACGTTTTTTAAAGATTTCTTACGCCGAAATCATGTTCAACTCGCGAACATTTAGGAAAGTGTCGAAGAATGCTGGAAAAACGACCATAACGGTCATAGTGGTACTGTATCTCACAGTAAACTCCTTGTTGCTATCTCGGTATAACAACCAACGGCCTATTTTACCCTCGGATAAACAATACTGGGATGCCTTCAGTCAGGTGGGAATCGACGGCAAATTCTACACCAAGCTTTTGCCCTACAACGTGAATCCTGTAACTGAAGAAGTCCTACAGCAGGAGCCATCCGCATGGTGGAGTCCTGTGGGTGGAGGAGGACTCTTCCGAAGGACGGCGATCTTGCGCGAAAGGAGAGGAGGGGCGCTTGGAACTCTTGTGGTAGTACACGGGGCTCTTCCTCAGCCAGAAATCGTTTACCTTCGAAGGTAACACTGCATGTGTAATTCTATGTGTATTTGTCATATATATATTTTGTGTGTGTGTGTGTGTGTTTTGGCGTCTTTGCTTCTTTTGTCTTGTTTTGCACGACTGTGTTCGCCTTGTGTAATCCTATGTGTATTTGTCATATTTGTTTTGTTTTTCTTTAGTGTGTTTTTGCGTCTATGCTTCTCATTGTCTTGTTTTGCACGACTGTGTTTTTGATACTATATTCATGTGTACTTTCGTATCTGCACTTATGTGTTGAAAACTGGTTTTGTCGAAGAGTTTGTCGCTCACATTTAGAGACACCGAGCTCTATGCTGGGGTGTCACATAGCACGTGGTACATGTTGGACAGCACAGGCCGCCTTTTGTTGCCCAAGAACTGTGTCGATGAAGCCACAATAAAGCATGGGACGGTCATGGAATCTGCCTTCTTTTTGCGTTAATGATGGTGTTTGTGTGTGTGTGTGTGTNACCCGCCGCCCAGGGGTAAGTACCGCCGCCCATCGCAGTGTGACCGGCCCGCACTGCCTTCTCTGTGTAAGACTTTTCACTCCCTTAAGTGTCCTCGCGTGACCTGTCCTCCTAGAGTTAGATCTCAGGCCAAACCCATCACGACGAAGGACATTTAAACACGAAAGCCAAGAGAGCATCGCAGTTTTAGTAAGTTTGGATGTACATACAAATCATAGGTTGAATCTCCTTTGCTGACGTCACGAGGGAAAGCGGAAAGGGAAAGGGTTAGACCGAGAAAGAGAGGGGAAAGAAAGGGAAAGGGTAGACCGAGAAAGAGAGGGGAAAAAGAAGGGGAAGAGGGAGAAAAATACAACGACGATAACGAAATTACGGAAGAGAAGTGAACAGAATGAAAGAATGAAGGATATATAGACGACGCTGATCACTCGTTGCAACATTTCGATCAAAAGACGTTGAGAAAAAAATGTAGATCTCACGCAATTTGAAGTAAATTAGGAAAATGAGAGATAAGGTCGAGTTAGATCCCGATGTATCAGTAAATTGGCGATGTGAACGTTCATTATATAATATACGAAGAGATAATAGATGAAAAATAAGAATGAATGAATGTAAACAAGCGAATATAATCCAAATATAATAGCGATTTCGTGGTACTGAGAGAGAGAGAGAGAGAGAGAGAGAGAGAGAGAGAGAGAGAGAGAGAGAGAGAGAGAGAGAGAGAGAGAGAGAGAGAGAGAGAGAGAGAGAGAGAGAGAAGGAGAGGAGAGAGAGAAGGGGGGGGTGAAAGAAGGAAAAAGAAGGTACAAGATGGAGAGTGATAACTGGGGTGGAGTGATAAGTGCAAAGTCGAGACGTAACAGTAGCGAAGATAAGACGTTGTCCTTATCAGTACCGGATATTGTCGGAGGGAGGGTGGGGGGGGGAGCAGGAGGGAGAAAAAAGGGAGAGAAAGAGGGATAGGGGAGGAGGAGGGAGAAAAGGGAGAAGAGGAGAAGGAGAAGGAGGAAGAGGAGAGAGAGCGAAAGAGGGGAAGAGGAGCAGAAGGAGGAGGAGGGGAAAGAGAAGATGGAGGAAGAGGAGGAGAGAGAGAGAGAGAATGGAAAAGGAGAAGGAGGAGAAGGAGAATTAGGAGTAGGAAAAGGAAAAGGAAGAGGAAAGA